ATACACATCATGGCCAAAGGTAGCCCGTCTGCATTAGCCTGGGCTAATGTTAGCCCAGGCTAATGCAGACAGCCCTCTGCTGCATTAGCCTGGGCTAATGTTAGCCCGTCTGCATTAGCCTGGGCTAATGTTAGCCCGTCTGCTGCAGCCCTCTCTCTGCATAGCCGTGTGTGAAGTACAGCTAGCTCTGATGGGGATGTTTTTTGTTTTATTTGGCAAAAATTGATTTGTGTTTATCGGACTGTGTTCATTATTATTCACCCAATAAATGAAAAAAGTAGGAATTTATTATTATCTATAGACTATCAATAACGGGAGGTGAAATGCAGCTCCAGACGAGCCGGGCATGCGGTGATGTCATCAGTACGCTTCTGATCCAATTGACCCGTATTTATGCTCCGTGCTCCCGTTTCCCCAAGTCCACACTTTCCTGTGTTCTTCTCAAGAACATACTTGTGAGGACACGAGTCTGTTCTCGCATTGTTGTGAGTTGAGTGTCTGCCAGCGGTACTCACCAATCATCTCTCCCTGGTCGTGAATCATTACTGCCAAGTCCTTAAAGATCTGGTTTACATCCATGATGTCAGACTAAAAAAAAACAGCAAAGCAATGAGTCTCATATGTTAGCAGTCCTCATTCTAATTATTTTTAGCTGACACTTATTTCATAAAATTATTTATTATAGTGTTTGCTTTATAGGGTTTTCTGTGAAATACTTTGAGAATCAAACATTTTAGCTGTGAATTATTTGGCGAGACCTTTTTACTTTTGTAACATTAAAAATATATTGATGGCAAAAATAAAACTCAATGTAATAATAAGTAATTTGCTCTAATATGTAAAGAAATTAATTTTAAAAAGTTATTCCATAAGACATTCAGGAAAAACATATTTATTTAGATATAAATGAAACTTCGATCAATAACGCTGATACAGGCACTTACTTTTTTAATTTTCAACTTCTGAACATTACCTTTTAACTGTTCAAATAGCTTTTTACCTTTTTTTATTTTTCCACAACTTAATTTACAGTAGGTGACATATTATCCAAGACCAAAAAAGGTTAACTTGCCCTATAAAGAGTTATTAAGTCATCTGCAGGTTTTCCATCACATTCCAACCTAAGAAATGAAGAACTCACCTCAAGCTGTCTAATGTTGGTTTCTCTCTCCTTAATAAGCTCCAGGTCCTCCTCTGTAATGCCCACTTCTTCAGTCTGGGTGGTAATTGGACCGAGGTCCTCTTGGCTTTAATAAACAAATACAGCATAGAATAATGAACACCTGGAATAATAATGACTTCTAATCATTGAACATACGCTCTGTAGGAGCATTACCATGTAAAAATCTTCAATGAGTGCAAAATATACCTTAAATAGCTAATAAATTATTAGTAGACCAACCAAAGCTTTGTTTCTGGTAAAATAGTAAAAACCTGTAGGTTTTAGACAGTAAGTTTGTCTTTTGAAGTTTAAAGAAGTTAGCTGTTTTGGAGGAGATTTGTTTAATTAGTTTAATCCTAAATGTGGACTGCATAATTGATTTTAGTTGGTCAAAGTTCAATAATTCAGTTTTACGATACCATATGGATTCTTTTAAAATATTAAATTGTATGAAATCCTTTCCATAAAATCTGTTAAGTTAGGAGCCCTTTTATCTGTCTGCTTGGAGGAATTGAAGAGCGAATTATTTTCCCACCAGGCCGTCAGAGGTAACGATAATGAAATATTCGAGACAGAACATCGGTTTAATTTCAATCTATAGAAAAGTGAAAGATTTTAGCCGAAACCACTTGAAGATATAGTGTAGTCTATGCATTAGATAATGTGTATAAAAGCTCTGAGGTTCCATTCACACTAAGGTTGTAGTCTTTTATAAAGTTTTTAAGCTGATATCTGGAGACTTGCTGCACTGTAGTCAACAAAAATCCAGGCTGCTGCTCTAGCTGTGTGGTGGAAAAAGTGGGTCTGATGCGCGTTGGGAGGAGATACTCTATCCTTTCTCTGCCTGGAACAATGGCAGCTATATTAGCTGTGATCAGCGGGTAAAAAGTAGTTTGAATCTATTCTAAAGTGAGAAAATCCACCTAAAAGTATCATCAGTGCAGTCAGTTCATCCAGATTACCATCCTGCCTTCAAATGTTATTTCTGTCAGAGCCGCTCAGACCACCGTACACCGGTGGTGCGCTGTCACTAGAAATCCCATTCAACAGAAAGCTTCTGACCCAGTCGCCTCCTCGTGGTTTGCTGCGGCAGAGGCGACTGGCTGGAAGGCGTTTTTTTTTTTTTTTCACTTAATCCTAACTGCAGACACCAGGATATAAAAGGTGAACATGCTTTGCCGGCAGATTTCGGCATTTTAAGTTAATGTTGTGCCATATGCATGATCATGGTAATTGGGAACCAGCGTCCGTATTTGATTTTGGCAGGATGACGAGAGGAGAACACGCAGCTGTGGTGAATATCAGCTGGGGGACTTCTGGAGCCCTGTTTGCCCAAGGGGACCCAGATCTCCAGAATCATCAAGGATAAGTCATTGTGGTAACCTTTCAGAACCA